GCCCGCGTTGTGGTTGAGCGTTGTTGGTGGCACCTGGACTGAATACGTCGGTTGGACGTAGCTCCCGCCAGAAGGAAACACAGTAGAATATTAGGAATCTTGTGGCTGACTTCCGTGGCAGTAAGCGACCGGGCAGAACCGTGACCGGGCTGGTCCTCTGCCGCTTCCCAGCTCGTCCCCCTCCTTCTCCCCCTCCCCCGCGTTTTGGAGGTGGTCGGGCTCGTCGCGGCACGTGTCGACGCAGACCACACTCCGTCGAAAACCTCTCCCCGACGCACCCAAGGACTCCACTGGGCTCCCGGTTCCAGTCATTATTCCTCTAGGGCTTATTCAAACGCTACGAAAGCAGTTCAAATTCCATTTTAATCTACAGATCAGTTTTCAAATTTTCAAAAGTTTAGACTTCATTTATATCGATTTCCTTACAGCAATTTAAAGCAATATATTTATTTCTGAAGTGAGTTCAATAACTTACCTGAGAAGAGTCCAAATAGGAGGAAATGAATTGAAGAAACAAGAGCACTTGATCAATAGATAACGATAAGACTGAACCTTATTCTCGTCATTCCCGGGACAGTTATCGAAAGAGCCTGTTCCTCCACGCGTTCGAATCGTTCCACTCAGCCGTTGTATACAGCGGGCGATCCAGCATCAAAAGAGCACACTAGAGCGGACCACGCCGAATTTCTAATACATCCGTATTTATACCGCACAAAAATTAAATTACAAGGCGGCACTTTAGGGAAACTTTGCGCTGTCAACCGGTACAGAAAACCTTTAAAGCATGTGCATAAACAGGCCACTATCTTACATAATACGTCCTAACAAAGAGTATATGTATATACATAAAATGAATGAATACGTGGGTGCACATAAAGCGCATTATCAGTGCTAATAACATTAAAGTTAGAAGAATGTCATGTTATGACTGTGATTGAATGTGCGCAAATAAAGTCTGAAGGATGCAGAACGCTACATAGCGGAGACTGGAGACTACGTACGTCACATGTATGACAATTATCATTTCAGATCATATACATTTAATAAAAAATTTGTTGGTCTAAGATAAATACAGAGATTTATTGAGAACAATGTTGTAAGTGGCAAATCAGTTATCATAACCGTTTGTGAGATAACACAATGCTGTGCGGATAAGATAGTAGAATGTTTAGAATGGTGTCCCAAGTATGGCAATAATCATTTCGAATCATATACATTTTAATAAAAATATTTTTGGTCTATCTAAGATACGCGCAGAGATTAATTATAAACGCTGTTCTAAGTAGCAAATAAGCTATCTCGACTGTTGTTGAGATTACACAATGCCGCTTGGATAAGATTGTAGTACGAACTGTAAAGAATGGAAAAATATTCGTCACGTTTCTGACGTCTGTCCATTTCCAATACAAGGAACTCACAGCAAGTTGTGTAAATAAGCTGGAGAATGTATTAACAACACATTAATATATTAACTTTCTAAGTGTACACTAACAGCGGTTGATTTTAACGGTAAATCAATGATCATTGATTTCAATAAAAGTTTTATTTTCCGTGTAATCTTTGTTTGGAGTCGGAGTATTTAAACTTTTTAAATTCCATCTTTACTAACAAAAAGTTGCTGGCGTTGACGGGTGACTCTTTGGTACTGATGGCTCTTTCATCGCTAATAGTTACAGATGATTTAAGGTTGTTATGTGTAATCCGCACCACCTACTATTTCTAAATTTAAATATAAATTTTAATGTATAACACAAATACAAATAATACAACTATTTCTGCATTATAATTTGTTTCTACGTATTGCATTTGGGGGGGGGAGGTCTTGTCGCAATCGTTATGTAATTATTAGAGAGGGGATTCAAGCGCGCGTTACAGATGCGTTACAAGGGGAAGAGGGGATATTCAAAAGAGTCCAAATTTGCGTTATGTAATTTATTGACGGCCTCTAATGCAAGTGGCACTTTTACCAGATAATTTAGGGTAGGTATTGTCTTTCAGTCATGTCAGCGATTTTTCGACACTCGTTGATGCCAAACCTAATAAGGGCATTAGTCAAAGATTAACTCATAGAAATGATTCACATTTATTTCTCGTTGACTAACTTGTGCTTGGGCAGTTTTATTCCCTATTATTTTTGTCCTTTCGCCAACTGGAGAATGTTTGCATGATATCAACTTATTTATGTGTCTAGAATACAAGGAAAGAGCACTTCAAAATTTTCTTTTGAAAAAATATTATTTTCGTGCTTAATTCTGTGATTAAAATTTAAACTACTGTGAGTTTGATTGTGATGAATGTATACATCGTGATTTTTTTTTCATTTTCCCCGATGATTAAAGTTTCAGGGTTTTAGCCACTTTTCACCCACACTGCTTGATTCATACAAAATTAAAAATTCTGTCAGAAATTCCTGCATTTTTTTAATGTAAAATGCGTTAAAGTATTTATCATGAACGCACATTAAATTTAATATACACATGTACTACATAGGAATGCAAGAATCGAAGCTTTATAGTTAGATCTGGTATGAATGAATGATCTTGATGGAATGGTGATTATGAGTATATGAAAGATGAGACATGGGAAAACGAGAGAACATTTACATTAAATTTACATTGATTGTAACTTAACCCACAAGCAGTCTCTTCTCTTTGCGAAACATTGCCGGTGGTGTGGTTGACTTCGTCTACCATCGACTTTCATGGATAAATTCTTGAAATATTTATTGAAAAGGTATCAATTCACTAAATATCCAATTTCTACAAAATAGTACAGTTTGTGCATTTTTTTTTATACGTGCGTTCTTTCGTTTATGTATTTAAAAAACTACGGGCGGAACATTGCAAGCGTTGGAGAATGTAATAAAAAAGACTGCTTTGCAACTTGATATTATCGTTTGAATTTTTAAGTGCTTCAAATCTAAAACGTGCTTATATTTTATATATTCTTTTTGTTTTTATTTAACCATTATGTCCCACAAAAGACAATTGGCTTTGGCGCCATCCCGGGTTTCTAGTCGGTCACCCAACCAGGAACCCACGAGGTTTCGAATTCGCCAAACCTTCGTGTCTGTAGTTAACCAATTCGATTAGCGACACCGGTTTCACGGTCATGGCCTTTCATTAGAATCACCCCAGCATTTGCCTGGATGAGAAAGGGAAACCACGAAAACCCTGGTCAGTATAGCTAGTACGGCGGATGAACGCAGGCCTCCCGAATTCATCCACTCTTTCTTTTGTTTGGGAGCTCACACGAGCGATATCACTACCTCATAGTACTTGCCCCAGAATTCATTATTGTTGGCAACTTAGCATTTTGATATTGTGAACTGTTTAGAAGTTTTAGGGATGGTATAAGTAATATATAATTATAGCTAGGATTAATGTGGCATTATTACCATGCCATCCTCTCACCATTCCACAAGTGTCCCTATTTCTAAAAGTGTCTTATAAAACCTAATCAAAGGAATACAGCAAGTGATTCAAATATTTGTACACATTATAAATATGGATATAGTATATGGATTTTTGTATCATAAAATTAGTACTACTGTTTCAAAATTTAAATAGAAAAAGACAATTGTAGTTTCTGTTTTAACTGAATTTTGCTACTGATTTGTAATTTCTTCCACATATGTTAGTACTGTGTTAGGCATTACTTGTTAAAAGTTTTGGGTTAATTATTTAATGCATTGAAACAATATTTCATCAATATTTTTCATTACTTTAAAATTGTTTGAACTCAACATGCCAATTCTGAAAAATAGGAAAGAAAAATGCATTGATACATTTCTGGGACCAAGGGACAGAAATGGGACACTTGTTCTATTGGGTCCTCATTGTATCCATCCTTGTGAATAATTTTTAAATTAATCTTCTATAGTTGTGTGATATAAATGCAAAAAAAAAAAATAGAAACCTATAGTCTATGGGTTGAGAATCCTAGTTATCAAAATAACTTTAAATTATTACTTTTTTTAAAATGATAGATTATTTACAAATTAAAAGGGTTCGAATAACAATAGTGATTTCTATATGGTTCATAGCAAGTCCCAAGTTTTATTTTCTGTTTTCCTCAATATCATTATTTTGACACTTTCTTTGTGACTGATAGATTTAAGACAAGTAAAATAATGTAATGAGAAGTAATGTAAACATTATTAAAATTAGAAAGTACTAAAGGAACAAGGAATAAAAATTCAAACTCATGATGCACAATATTTTATTTTTACAATATCATTTATATCAACCATATTTTAAAATACTCATTCTTTCTCGTAATTCGATACACATTTTTATACTATTCAAATTTATAACCAAGTACTAAAAATATATCACAAAATTTACATATTCATGTACTATCTGAGATAAATATACTTTTGTTTGAAACTGTTGAAAAACAAGAGATATATACTTAAGTCTTTTTTAAATTAAGCCATCACAAAACATTGCTCTCAAATTCATAGTTTTTTACAAAAACTAAAAAGAAATGTTTTTGTATTAATTTCCTCTGAATTTCTGAATTTGATTTGAAACTTATCTAATGTCTCTACAACTGGAAAAGAGACAGAAAATGAATGAAGAATCTTGTTTCACAGTTTATATAGATATTGACACATAATCAGTTATTTTTGCTACAATAACACTTCATTTCCTAGTTGAAAATGATAAAAGTATATTTATTATTATTTTGAAATATGTATGAAAGATAGCACAAGAAAGTAGAGTTTGAACATATAATAATGATGACAAGCTCATCGTTGAATTTCTTCAATGAAATTCTTCTTAAAGACTTTCTTAGAAAGAATTACTGGACCTACTAATACACATATGGAATGCAACTCCAAGTGTAATGGCTTTCAAGAAAAATATTGGTATGATAATAATGTTATTTTAATATATGTTTTACAATATTTTCATCTGAAACATTTTACAATAATATCTAGGAAAAATATTTTTTATGCATTACATATAATTAACTTCCTGTCCATTCTGATTTAAGAAAGCAATAAATTTATATGCAAGGCACTGGCACGCTGATGCTTTTCCTCAAAGGTTCTATTGTCCCCACACTTACTAATATCCAGGTAAATCTAATTTCATACCAAAGCTATTAACCATCACAAGTAGAAAAAGTTATGAATAGTTTGCATTTTTGAGAATTAAATGCACACTGCTCAATAATGTATTCGGACACCATAGAGTAGTCATGTAAATCTGGTAATTCTGTATGATCTTAAACTAACATCAAGGAGCAAAAATTGGAAAAATAGTTGAAGGTTTTCACATGTCTACAGAAACAATACTTAGAAATTACTAACTAAATTTAAAATTTTTTATCATGTTCAAAAAAAGAAGTTTTACTTGAATATTTAATAATCAAAATTAAACGGTTAAATACTGAGCTTAACATATTCTTCCTAAAAATATACATTTCCAGTTTATCTATGAATATGTATAATTTCAGAGATAAAATTGTGTGTAATATTTGCCAGTACATATCCACGCAATCAATAAATTCAAATTCAAACTAGTAAGTAAATGACATTTCAACCTACAACTTTTTTCTATCACAATTTATCAATTCCTTATTTGCATGTCAGTGTTTGACAGTACTTCCTCAAGAGTTTTAGGTAATAACAAATAGAAATATTAATGAAACCAACTTTAAGGAATGTACTGTCTTTGCCACCTGACTTTTCACAAAATATTTATTAACTATATTTGTACAACTTTTAACACACAAGTAACAGTATAAATGTTTTAAAAAATTGAAAATGGTTTAGTATGCACTTTGTCAAAGTAAGAAAAATAAGTTAAGAGTACACAATAAAAATAAATATCTAAAACTTGAAGTGCTGTCACACACATAATAATTACAATAATCTTGAGATAATGTGAGAAGTAACAAAAATAGTATGTAAGAATATTGTTATTGAACAAGCAGCATGTATTTACAATTGTAATTTTGGAAATAGCATGACACAGCAAACAATGAACAATACGGATCTACATTACAATACATTACAATATTCTAAAATGAGTAGTTTATTCATTATTGAAAAATGAATATCAAATACATGTGATATGTAAAAGGAATTTTCAATTTTATTAAAACTGTTTTTTTCTCATGTCTTCCTATTGTAGAAGGCACATGAGGTCAGTATTATTATTTACCATTCATTTACTTTCATGAACACGTGTAATTATCAACATATATAAGCTGACAGTTATTCAAATCACTGCTCATAATTGTTGTTGTTTGCCTCATTACGATCACCATTATTCATGTCATCATCTGATGCAGAACTTCCAACTTTTTCTTCAATTTCTCCCATAAGAATACGATACTTTTTAGCAATTGCAGGCCAATCTGTGACTGTTTCAATTCGTTGCACATTGTTAAAGCTGAGTTGAGAACCAAGAGGGCTGAGATGAACAACGCTCAGAGCAACAGAATCTGTGTGAAACATAATTTGAATATTAAGGTTCAGTGCCAAAGACTTTAATTCATATTGTCTTCTAATATGTTTCAAAATTCACTATCTCTAAGCCAAATCAATTGAACAAGGGTTTGGAGTAAATATAGTTAAAAGCAAGTAGGTACCATGTTAAAATGAGTACAGTAAGTGGTAGTAAGGAAAGACAGAGGCAATTAAACAGAGTATGAGAAATAACAAGGAATGTTTGATTTGAGTGAAAGAGAAAGAGGGAGAAAAAGAGAGGGGGATCATCCAAAACAAGACTTTAAGATAGAAAAGAATATTCAAAATGTATGAAATTTATTAATTTAATATGCATGTTATTGCAATTAAGGGACAAAAATTATTATATTTATGTTAATTAATCTATTATAAAACCTACCTTTTGGAGCCACTTGTCCTTTCTTCACCTTTGCCAACCACTTTGCTCCCATCTTTGTTCTTGCGCTCACACGGGAACCTTGCATGCCCATCATCTGAACAAGACTTGGGCGTTTCTTTTGAGCCACTGCAAAAGAAATCATTCAATGAAAAGATAATTTGACACGTGATGTAATCTCACTTCTGTTTCTATCAATTATAGAAGTCATAATGCCAGAGTGCGAATGGATAATTTTCTCCAGAGAGGAACATTCAAAACTCCAAGAAGGAACAAATCATAGAACTGATGAGTGAAACAAAGAACTTCACAAACACCACACAGTAAGACTAAATTCTAAGTATATTCTCAGAAATGTTTTCTTATCCAGTATCCTTGATTCGAAAAGTGTGTGGGGTAGAAATCATAAATGAAGCATCAACATATTTATTGTTTCCCTGGTAGGCTCATATTAACAATTTACCATCAAACTCTTTAAGTGAAGATGATCCTTTGCATCCCTCTGTCAATTCACACCCTGCATATTACTTCAAGAATGATAAATAATTGTTAAATAAATGATCTTGTTTATTGGTTAATTTAATACTTACATGAATATTAAAGTGATTTATTTAAAATATATTCTACATTAAAAAAACATTTTTTAAATATTTTGGAAAAGAAAAATGCAAATACACTCACTCTTCTGTTTGCAGAACCGCAACAGAATCATCAACCACGATGTTACCAAGTTGAGGGGAGATGGAGTGGTAGTTGTTCGGTGCATGTTGCGAATCAACTTAGCTAAGCCATATTTCCATTCAATATCAGACTGAGCTTGAATGCGTTGGTATGTATCACTCATCATAGCAATGAGCAAGTTGATTAACACTACCACTGATACTAACATGTAAACCATAAACATACACTTAAAAAGATAAGTTGTCCATGGGGGTTGATATCCAGGTGGAGTCTTCTTTTGAATTTGTTCAATGTTGGTCATTCCAAAGACAGCGAAAAATAGCATCTCAAAGGCCTCTATTGGACTCAATCGCACTGTAAAACAATGAGAAATGAAATATGAAAAAATGTCACTTACGTATTGGATGTAACACCAACAGCACACCATGCAATAATTGTGTGAAAGAACACACAGAATATTAGCAATTAAACACCTAATAAAAATGTATGATGTCAGTCAAGTGCATAAACATATTGCATGCTACATTTCAATTTCCTGACTTTTTCATTAATTTACATTTCTTAAAGAAAAGTGTATAACCATTCATTTTTATGAGCATAAGACAAATACTTCCTCTTATTTTCTATTACTGTTTCAATCTTCTGATTCACATTTAATTTCAAAGATGTTGAGCATCAAATAAAAATAATATAATTTACTTAATCATATAACTAATGAGAAGTTGTATAATATTTATTTCTAAAAACATTATGTTTTACAAATTAGGTACCTTCAAACTGCAGCAAGTTAAATACTGCAAAAACATAAGTGTGTTATATTACTCTAAGAGTTTAAAAATATTATGTCCATTGTACTCATATGAAGTTCAAGCATAATTTTCATTGTAATTACGTAAATCCCTGTTAACATTTGCCCCATATATTTGAATAAGAACAAAAGTAAGATGGTAAAAATCTTGTCAAAACTGCCCCCTACAGAAATGAAGAATTTTTTTTTAAAAGAATGATTCTGATTGAAAGTGAAAACATTTCAAATGGTTTTTAATTCCCCCTACAAACACACACTTGCATGCACGCACACATGCACACACACACACACACACACACACACACACACACACACACACACACACACACAAAAGAAAAATATGCTTTTTGCATTTTAATTTTCTTGGCTAATGCCCTGAAATTATAAAATTAAAAATTATGCAAGGTTAAAAGGCTTATATCATCCACAATACAATTTTGTCAACAATTTAGATTATAGATTCAATTTTAAAAATAATATTTCCAAAAGTTTTTAAGAGTAGTTAATTTCTAAAATTTGGGTTGGAGGATCTAGGGAAAAATTTCGTATATAGGAAATTTTATTTTAAATATTCATGATCTTTTGAACTGTTGGCACAAGTTGAATTTTATTAACTAAAATGGAGAGATATGTAGAGAAATCAATATTTTTATATAGTACTACTTTTGGTTTTTAGAAAATATTTGAAATGCCAAATCATTTAGAGACAGTCTTGAAATCCAAGAACATAATAAAACAGTGAAGATGTGTAAAAGTCTTCTGGCATCCCGACAAAAAGAGCCATGAGAGAAGCTATATGATACTACCAATTCAATATTCTTACTTCAGATCTAAATGCATCTTCTTCATTTTTGGCTTGCAATTGATTCAACTTTCCTTGAAGAGTTAACTATGTATGAAGATTAAAAGTAAGGGAAGAGCAGGGAGACTTTATGACATTTTTATTGTCTGTAAATTAGGGCAACTGTGTTTCCGTAAACTAGGGCCACTTTGTTTTTGAAAATTATGTTGTTCATTGCCCTGATAAGTTCCTGATCCAATGAATAGAAATGTTATGACTGCACTGCCCAGACAAGACATTAAAGATCAGGTTTTTTTGTCCATTTTTAGCCTTATCACTTGAATAAGCAATTCAAATTACTTTCTCTATCACGTTATGTACAGGAATCCATGTTTTGTGTGTCCTTGATACCGAAAAAATCGATTGACGACAAAACGTCTGTCCGTGGTCAACGCTAGCACCTAAACCGATTTTCAGCCAATTTACTAATAAGCTTAAATGGAAAAATATCTGATCGCCTTCGTATGATTTTGATTGATTAGTGATTCTGGGCGCGTCAACTGCTAAGGTCATTAATCGGAAGTTTAGTGTATGATTTTATTGCGAGAGTTGGCGGTTATCTCCTCCCGTTGGATGGCCATATCTGGCGCTTACCTACCTGTCAGCTTGGGGACGGTTTTCTTCAACCAAATATCTCCCACCAGCGTGACACCTCCCCAGACGGGACAACTTCTAAGCTCCCAATTGGTCTCCCGGCATGTGTGGTAGTGTAGGGCGTAAGGGGTGAGGATAGAACAATGAAGCGGAAGGAAAGATCACGCACGGTTTGTGGCCCTTTTGTTACGGCTGTGCTCCAGCATTCGGCTGGTATTGAATGGAGAAACCACGGAAACTACCGAACAGAGCAGCCGGCTGCTAGAATCCTTCTCCAGACAGCGCGCCTGAATTTGACCTAGCTATGGAGCTAATCCCGTCGAAAATCCTGCCCCCATCAGAACTCGACTCCCGGTACCTTACCGCACGGTAAGAGGCACTAAAGTGACATCAATTAATGGCCTTAGTCACCTTAGTCGGTTTTCGGATGGTAATTTTCGCCTGTCCTTATATTAGATAACAATCATTAAATAATCAAATCTTTCAAGGAAGCTTTTCAATATACCACCACTAAAGTTTTGGTTCTACAATTGAGTAATTTAAATAAATTAAATTATATAATTAAATTTTTAAATATTTAAATGTTTTTATTAATAAAATGAATATAATTAAAACCGAGTAATTTGACATTGGAAACAATTCCTAAATAAAAAACAAAAGAGGTTTGATGATTTTATTTCGAAAGTACGAATACTTTCCACAAAAAACAAACATTTGTCAGAAAAAAGTTGTAAATCATGCTGCCAGGTGAGACTTTTCAATAATTTAAATGCAAATTGTTTAAACATTGATGAAAATTTTCAAACACATTTTGGCGTCCACATTGTTTGCAAATCTGGAAAAAATGTTATAGAATTTTATATGACACATTCTTGGAAAAAAACTGAGACTACTCCAACGTTATCTCGTCGAAAATAAATTTCAAAAAAATATTTATTTATTTTCTATTTGAATTTGGCGTTAAAATTGATTGGCAGAAATACCTTCAAATTTAACTATTTTCTTCAGCCTGATACATGCAATAGAAGCTGAAAAAAATAAAATATGAAAAACACGTTTTTTGTTGTTTCCCTGCAACAGTTTGCCCTAGGATGCTGATTTTTTGGAAATGTACGATATTTGTTATTCTCTTTCATATGAGCACCGCGATTATCGATTTGGTTTGGGGGCACTTTCTACCGCCTTATTCGGCTATATCGTTTACGTTTAATACGTAGAATGGGAGACTGAAGATACGTGACAGAAACAATTTTCTGCTACATGAGTATTTCTAGTAACATTACATTCTTTTTTCTTCGTTCTTATGGTGATTATATTAAAATCAATGCAAGACTTTATATAATCCAAAGATTTCATTGTAACAGGTCGAAGACTGTTTCATAGTCTGATGAAATATTAATAATTATTAACTCTGTTAAGTATCAGGTATTGAAATAAATACTTCTGAGAAATAAATCGCTATATTTTTTCCGGAGGGAAACTGACAAGCCACCTCCCACACAATCTTCATTTATTAGCCCTCTACTACCCGTTGTTACTTTGAACAAACCTATTTTACGTCTTTTATTTTCCATCAATAAAGTTTAGACCACTGTACACCGTGATAACTTGAAAGTAACAATATGGCGGCACAATCTGTTAGGAAAATAACTAGTGTGATTCGAATTTCCGTCGCCAGATATCACTGTGCGTCACTAAGCAACCGGGTAACCCCTGGGTGACCCATTGCAGGACTAGTTGTTTTTACTCACATGCGTTTACAATGCTTATTTATGTCCTTATTCTCTCGACAATATCAACCTTGATAAACATGAGTGTTATTTACTCGTACATATGCTTACGAAATAGACAATATTAATTTAGTATTATTTAAATAGAAAGTTTTTTGTTTCCTTGAAGTAACATTGGGCACTTATGTAACGTGACCTTACTCTTGAGGCGGTGTGAATAGAATGCCCCAGTGTCGTGCTGTTCTACAAAAAAATGTAAGGGTGGCGTTAATTAAATGGATTCCCTGACATCATTGTATCGAACTAAAATCAGATCCAAAAATTGTGTTTACCATCCATCTCTTGGATATCACCATCGCCAATTCACGGCTGCTTTAGGAAGATATTGTAAAGCATGCGGGATAGGTAAAAGAAATGAACTATCGTGCTAGATGTCAAGTCTATGCCTACAGAACAAGGAGACAGAAGAAAAGAGGATGACCAACTTCATCATTGTTGAACGAAATTGAATATATAAGGAAAAGAGGACCAATATGCATACCGGAGAAAGAAGTAAAGAGGAATGAGATAGGCCACTGGCTGCAATTTCTTGAAGAGGCCACAAGCAATCTAAAATGATCAAAATACGCCCTGGCCACCCTTCAATTGCTTTGTTCAATTTCGCACAAAGTATATTATTTTACAAGTTGTTATTCTCTTGCTTGTATAATAGTTTAACTAGTAAAATAATAAATAAATAATATGTTTATTTTGTGCAGAGATGAACATTTTACAGATTTTGACAAATTTACCGATAAACTATATATTTCTGACAATTAAACTGGTTCACTTTTTACATATGAATATTTACCCAAAGAAAATTTTCCCCAAAGAATTACTTACTTCTGGATGCAACTGCCCAATGTTACTTTAAAGTCACAAAACATTTCTGAAATATTAAAAATTAATAAAAGTTTCTAAAGGTACTCTAGTGTTTCAAGAAGCAATGTAAGACGTTTCGCACATATAAATATTTTCATTTATAAATATTTTCATTGATGATTCACTTATAAAATTACTTTTATCCTTTAAAAGAATCATCCAAAACACTGTAGGATTAGGACATTTTAGTACTCACTAATCATATACTGATGCATTAAACTCCTAAGTAAAAATTTATGGTGCTTCATCAATTATTTTCTCGCATTATTTCTACCTTTTGCAAATTACGAAAATTCAGAAAGTTCAATCAAAATGAGACCTGTGGCAATTTTTAAAGCACCCTTTACTCTATCCTAGGGGGAAAAATGAAAAAAAAATTGGAGCTGTTTCCGACAAAATGTTTTTCGTTAATTGCATTAACTTCAAGCAGAAATCACACATAAACTACTATGTTTTTCAGAAACCTTGTACATGGACTTATTCAAATATCCGATTTTTTATGATGGATTTACTAAGAAAAAAAAATTGTACTTTGGCCATAATAATTTTGGCAAATTTCGTAACTACCGAGAATTTGCCGAAAACATGACTAACTACACTTTTTTACTGTCATTTGCTCTATTTAAAAATATATTAAAAAATGGAGCCATTTTTGAAAAAATAATTGTATTAAAATTGCACATATTTCACGCAAAATTACACGAAAACTATTCATATTTTCAAAAAATTGTACATGAACTTATTTCAAAATCTGCCATTAAATAAAAGATTTTATTATAGAAAACAATCTCTATCTTTAATATTGAAGTTGTAAAAAGACATCAAAACAATTTTGAACTTTTTCAATTTTCAAAAAGTCAGGGATTTCAACGAAAATGAGATGGCAATCTTTTAGGCATTTTTTAAACTACCAGAGAACAAAATTTATCAATAAATTTGGAGCAATTTTGTAAAAATTTTGATAATGTTGAGGCTTTGTGTAAAGTACTCCCCAAAATCAAAATATCCATTTCAAACTCGCAGGGCCCAATGTTTGTTCAGCTCGACTGGGGAATAGAAAATTTACTCTCTTAAGTATTGACAATTTATTTAGACCCCATTATTGTGAAATTTTGTTTCTAATGCAAAAGCGCACATTTTCATACTGTAAGCAGTGTTACGCGCTGGTGCCGATCGCACAAAAAATGAAAACTAAATGAACTCACAGGGAAAAAAAAAAATCTGGGGGCGTAGACACAAGACTTGCATTCCCCCAAAGGAAAAATTATTTTAGAAAATAAACAGATATGGATATTCTGTTCTTTTCCCACCTCTGTATCTGCTTATTTTCTCAATATTGAAATATCATGGAATGCTCATGAACACTTTGTCTACATTAAAAAAGAAATTGCGTTTTAGAGGGTGATTCCACCACTAAATGAATGGGTGGAATGAAAAATGAGTACACTTGTAATATTTATGCAATTTTATTACTTCAGAATAGAAATGAAAGTACAAATTAATTAAAAATGTATTTTGGGATTAAATTTGAAAAACTTTTAAAATCTGAGTAAATTTTTAGCCATTGTTTTTAGCCAATTCACCTTAGTTTTACTAACAAACTTAAGAATGTGGGTTATTCATTGAACAATCATCTAATGTGTGAGCTTGCATGTGTGTGGATGTAACAGCAAGTTGTTACAAGATGCAGCAGGAGGATAAAAAACAACTACATTTGGTGACCATATTTTTTAATAGCCCCATTTTTTCGCTCTGGAATGGTTGTGGATTGTTCACTGTGTATTATTGTTTCCTTGTACCATGTGGGAGAACTCAAGGGCTCATTGCCACAATCTGTCCAGGCTTATCATTATCCAAAAAGATTCTAATTTTTATTTTCTCGCCTTATGAATTCTTTGTAAGAAGAGAAAGTTATGTAATAGTGCAGTGGAAAATGATTAATTTTCGCCAGGAAAAGTATTATAGATGAGCTCTGGTAATGGAAAATTGGATTGTTCTTGATATCAAAAATATGATTGACGGCAAAACGTCCATCCATCTGTGGTCAACGCTAGCGGCTAAATGTTCAGCCGATTTTCTCCAAAGTTGATATTCCTTACTCGATCTGGCTGATGTCACGGCCCCTGGATTTCAAAACCGATGTTTTAATTTTGGGGGATATTTTACATAAAGTCCTTCAGAAATTTTCAAAAATTCGACTCCAATTTTTTTGATTAAATTTTTTGTGTAATATTGCGAAAGACATTTAAGAAATTGGTGCAGGTCTTATTTTCGGTGATATCCCCGATTCTTTTCTTTGACACTACAACTAAAATGGGACACAACTAAAATCATTAACACTTGGATTACCTACTAGGTCTACTGTGAAACAGGAAGAAGTATTAATGCTTCATACCTGTAGTAGATAATAATTATAATGATGATGTACCATTGCATAAAAAAGAAATATGTTAATATAATCGTCACATCTGATTAAACAACAAACCTTGGGTGTTTATGGGTGTTTATTTGCTCTATATCTCCTAATTATATTTAATAGTATAATCCTGTCTTATTTCTTTAAACCTAGTAATTTTGCTTATTAATAAATGAAACTAGTACCATCTCTTGCGATGCATCATGTGCAAAATTTACCATGTTTGTAGAAGTACAAAAGTGGTGTTCACTTAACATTCTTATTACCTTTAATTGAACCACTAAGATGACACAGCAATGATCAGAATGACATGAAGCGTTTCTGAGTAGATGAAGTGGTGAATAACATGAGGAAAATAACAATAATCACATGATGAAAAGTAACCAGTATAATGGATGAAATCTTTTCAAGGTATGTTAAACAAAAATGACATCTATTTAAATGAAGGATTAGGATTGAAATTATGATATTATATCCGCATGTTTTCTTGAGCCCCAGAATGTCTACCTCCACTACTTTCTCAATATTGGTTGCATTATGAATAAATGATAGCAATGAGAATTGTAGACAAAATGTGGTGACGAGGAATGTTCGCTCCTGTGTGTTAAAAACAATTTTGCATGGAAAAATGAACTACAAATTCGACATAAAATTCCTTTCAACAAAATAACCAAACTCCCCTCTCCTTTCGAATCTAGCGAAGTGACATCTCAAGAAAATGGATAATACTCTTTATGGTAGAAAGTAAGAAGTCTTATCTCTACTTCAGAAGTTGTCAAAAGAATAGCTTTGGCAAATAATTAATACTGTGACAAATAACTATACAAGCAAGTTATACACAACAATGAATAGTTCTTTTGGCTAAGTCGAAATATTCTGTACATTCTTAGAAAGAGTTTCTCTCCCAGCAGAAGACAGCATAGATTCACAGATCTTCATACTTAAACTTGTAACATGAACTAATTCTATCATGTGACTGAAATGTATTATATTTAATTTGTTCTTAGCCAAAGAAACCAAACAAATCAAGATAATGGTATTGTAAATTTATTTTAAAATGAGATTAATAATTGTATGGTATATAACCAAAAAGAAGTTACCATATAGAATGTTTATTCAATATAATTTCTTCCTGACATTACATATGGTAACTTCTTTTTGGTTATATACCATAAGATTATTAATCTCATTTTAAAATAAATTTGCAACACCAATTTCTTGATTTGTTCGAAGAATCTTTCGGACGGAAAAATTTAACACAATCAGAAGTGCTATAGATTGTGCTAGGTATTGACCTATGTAATAAGATATGATTATTTACTTCCAAACAAAAACAAATATGGTATTCCAAACCTTTTAATTAAAAGGCAAAAGTTTTTCACAAAATACAATTCATATAAACTCACAAATTTGTGATCGATTTACATTTTTTGGGAAGATGCCAAACTATTGGAAAATGCTAATTAGCCAAACTTTAATTAAATTCAATAATATCATTCACAGTTTGAAGAGCTTTCAAAAGAATTGATCTTCCATTTTCAACTTTACCAACTGCTTGGTTTGTGATTGGATAAGGCTGAAAATATAAGAAATATTATTTTGATATTAAGAATAGGCCTACTAATTTGTATTAAATATTGAGAGAAGACATGTGAAGAAATTGAAAATTGTCCACTGTTGACAATATCTTAAAAAAAAGAGAGGGAGAATTTAGTTTATGGTATATATTGGAGAGATCTTGACTAATCTCTGATGACATAATATTGTGCATGCATTCATTTAATGATCACTCACTGTGCATTTCAAACTGTGTATGCATTAAGATCATGTAGTAACACATTACCTGAATACATGAACCTGAAAGCAGAAATTAATAGTGCCTGGCTCACACAAATATGATGTATTATTAATCTTAGTTGGATGAAACTACTTCAAAAGATTTATCAAACAAGCAAACAACTTCTACAGCACACTATTGGAAATAATCACATCGTGCTATATTAATTTGTTGGCTGCACACAAGTGAACACACTGTGCTCTAGAAACCACACCGCGAACATAACATACTTGTTGCATTAACGCTTGTTGCGTTATAGTCAGACGTTTGTTCCTCCTCACTATCGTCAACCCCAAATCTTTCTCTTAGGAAGAAATCAGCAGGAGCTTCAGTTGACCAAGCATAGTCATCTTCAAAAATCGAGAAGCTCCTATTCTGGTCTTTTTCTAAGATATTGATAGATCACCATATTAAACAAAATTCTTATACTCCAATCCCATTGTCAGACAAATATTTCATGTACTATGTCAGAATATTCTATAAAATTATAATTTTCTTTTTTTCTTTTTGAGATTAGAGCATGTCAGTGCATTTCTTATACTTTTGAACCTGTTTAATGATCAAATAATGTTTTTCAAGTCTGATGCAGAAATTCACATATTAAAAAGTCCTTGTGATTTCTTTGAAGAACTATGTATATTCTTTAAAAATAGTGGGTTTTTAGTATGATCTTTTTTAATTTTTATACGATACCTTACTCTTTTTTGTCTTAAATGTGTTGTTTATAATATTTCTACTTATTTTGCTTGATATATTAACTTTTTACTAAACAGTCTATTACAATAGCATTCTTAAAATTCATCCATCAGTAAAACACTACATAAAGAATCTGAATATAATTTATCATCTGAAATATTGTTTTCAAAATAGTAATGTATTAGAAATGCACAGTTGATACTTTGTAAAAACCTACAATTTAGTTTCTGCATATCACCAAACTACAGTTGTTCATGTCATACAGACAAAACAAATTTGAGATAATGTTATTAAAATAGTGTTTGTATGCAAGGGGAGAACATTAGTAAAAACATCACTTTCAGTTGATTTTCAAAACACAATTTCTTAAATTCACACCTTCTTAATGTTATGTAAGTTCAATAAAATAATCAAAATATTCTTACCTTCAGAAAAAATTCCTGTGTAGTTTTTACTAACACTCTTGTTTCTTCTTTTTTCATCACTCAAAAATGGCTGATTAAGAGCAACAATATTCATTGAAAAGCCAAACACAAAAATGGCTAACACTGCAAGAAACCTGGCCAAGTCTTTCATAAGATTTCCTATAATAATTGCCCATGGTCCAAACAAGTGATGAAATGACAGGAAGTCCAAGATTTGCACACAAGCAAGAAGAAACGACATCGCAAACAGTTGATTCCTCAGGTACATCAGGGTGGCCCAATGGGCCTTTGCCACAAACACAAAGCCCAGTAGATGCAGGGCCACTCCAAAGATGCCAAACAGTAGGACAGCCACTTTGATCCATCCCAGTCCACTTTTATCACTTGGATTTGTCAGTTCAAACAGTAGTAATCCAGAAAGCCATACAAGCAACACATACTCATACCAGTAAGGATAGAGATGTGGACGTACTACACTGTGAATAGGTGTAATGCCAGACAGCATCAGAAACAGCATGAGGTAGATGTGAGATGTCAAATAGGACATGAATTTTATAATTGGAACTTTGTTGTATTTGTGTCCCAATGGAAGTGTAAATCCAATCCAAATAGGAGGGCAAACAATGAATCCGATGAACAGCAGCATTGTCCTCCAAGCTGCCCAATTTAAACTTCCTCTCCACAGTTCCTAGAAAAAACAAATGATAATAAATTATTTTTGAAAACTAATATTAGAATAAATTCCCCCACAGTATCCTGATAATGATCAAATAGTGATGCAAATGGTAATTTTTAGAGAAAGGTAATACAGCATTAATTTTCTAAAGCTATTGTTAAATTAAATTTATTTATAAAATATTTATAAGCTACATTCCAAACATTTCTTTCCCAGTGGTTTCTTTTGAAATAAGATATAACTATACTACCTTTTCGTTATACTAAATAAAAGTAAACAAGTAAATTTTCATTTTAAAAAATTACTGTTCTTTATAAGAATTCTCACCTGCAAGTACCTTTGGACAACCATGTGTGCTATAACCTCTTTCTGCTCATTCTCAATGAGCACATCTAAGAATTCAATGTTGCGGCGATCCATTGCTGTGAGGATACGACCTGCAGAATCTGCTCCAGCTGCTAGTGCTAACAACTCTGTGGCCATTGCTTCACATTGCTTGCCAGCAGCAATCAAATCTTTTGCCCGCTCTTTTTCCTAAAATAAAAGTTTGCATTGTTTTATTCGAATCAATATGAATAATAATGCCCACACTAGATTACATATATTGTATTTTTATAGCGTAGTTATTGTATTATATTATTCTAATATTTGATACAATTTGTACCTACTTTGTCAGACAGACGTATAAAGATGGCAGATAATTTAACAGCAGTATCTACTGGGGCTGGAGATACTAAGACAAAATCTTCAATTGTCTTATTTGCATTGTTTTTGCTGCAAATCATTAAATTATACACAAACTGGAACAGAAAAAATAAGATTGCTTAAGCATTGAGAAATATTTAAGGCTATTCCTTTGTATTATTTTTAAGGTTCTTTATAGAAACATTTGTACATATATTTTTTCTGTGTTTATCTATACAAAGCAGTAAAACATTGTAATTTTTTATGATATTTCTTTCTCCTTTTAAAATGATTTTTACTTATTACAAATGGGAACTCAAATATGGGAAGCAAATTGGAGAAAAGGTCCGCTCTTTAAACCCATCACTGAAACCCATAAATAAATGTTAGCCAGCAACAACTGGTGAATATGAAATTAATTTCACGTAATGAAAATATAATCAACATTAGTAGTGACAAACATAAAGGCAGTGCCTCATGGCTTAAGCATACGGGTTATTTTGAGGTTACTGGTTCAATTCTGGCAAGCTATTGGAAATTTACTTGATATTTAATATTGGTGCACCAGCCAGAGTCCAATTTGTAGTGGTTTCTCTGATCACTTCCAGGTGAATGCCAGAGAAGCACTCTAGAAAATGAGCCATGGACAGTATCCTTCTTTCCCTATCCCATTCTTATTCCCATCATTAGAGTCAAGCAATAGATCATTCACTCTCCTAGGGCCCATCCCATTGATTCAGAAAATCTCTGAGAAGCATCAAAGACCTAGAAAGCTACCAGAAGTGAGTCCCCTGAGGACCAAATGTGTCTAGTGGTGAGGAAAAATGGAATAAAGGATGATAAATGGAATAAAGGATCATCCTACTCTACAGGGTGTAATGATGATGGTGATGATCACCATCATCACTACCACCATCATCAACATCATCACACCCTGTATGGTGACTGGGGGTTTTAACAGAATAGTACCATGGGTACTCCCTTCCTGAGAAGACGGCTAAATCCCTATTGCTAAACGTACATCCTCCTTCTCACACCTATTCTCCTTTCCCCACCCATGGGAACCAACAAGAGGATTGAGTAGCTTAGAGGTTTGTAATGTCTATCAATATATACTTCCTTTCTGCACTTTTCCTACATATCTTAATCAACTTTCTTTAGAGATCAAAGAAGAGACGACCTGAGTCCAAGGTAACAAGGTGATGACCTCAACCTAAACAATAGTGAGGCGGAAAAGGCAACCCGTCCTAGGAAAGAAAGGTTGGAGGCTTAGAGATGGCAGCCCCATCACCAACCAAACACATAGCAATATAGAGAGTCTATATTTTAGTCGTAAGGCCTTGGAAATGGAGTTGCTGCATGGGGATTGTGAGGTGCGTTTGGAGGCAGTGCTAGCCATGCAGATTTCAAGACACTGGTGGTGAATTGCTGAATAGGCAGGCACACATCAGGATACACAAAACCATCACCATCAATGAAAAAAGAGCAAACCCACACCTGCTGACAGTTGTTTCTTGGACATTAGTTGGGAACACTGAAACAGACCTGCAGCGATGGAGGATGATGACAGATTAATTGAAAGTTTAAACAACAATATGAACAGGAAAAAGTCAATAATAAGGAATTTGCTTCCCATTTCTTTCAATGAAAAAAATGACAATGACCTCAGTCAGTTCCTCCTTCGTTGCACTAGCTCTTCCATCTATTTTTAAATGTTTTTTCTATATTTTTGTGTGACATGTTTGCTTTAAAAATTAGAATACAGAAATTATGTTTCAATTCAAATAGGGTAGATCTTCACAGAAACTGAAAGTTTTTTATTGACTGTTCAGGACCTAGTTATACCGATGTGAAACAATTTGTAACTAATTGTTAAATAGGGACACTTGCAGAAAGAATACTATCAATACAGTTAACAAAGCAAAATCAGACAAACAGACTTTTAAATACTGAATAATTCACTTATCTATTGACTGGAAAGGTTTTTTTTTCAACCATATCACAATTACACTGTAAGAAATGTCTCCTGAAAGAAATATCTATTTATCAGTAATATATCCAGCTTTCAATTTCATGCCACTATAATGATGACCATACTTCCTACACACCGCATAATGAGGATAACTAAATCACCATAAGGAATGACCAAATAGAAAATTATTAAATTATGTGAAAAAGATTGAGCTTAAAGAGCAAATTCAGCATACAATTACTATAGGCTAACCTGATGGCCACGAAAGGTGGATGAGAATTATACTAAAAGCTTTACTTTTCTTGTATGTCAGGATGTTTTCACAATAAATGAGTTCTCTTAATTATTAGTTTATTATAACTAATTCACAATACAACATAATACTCAGGCATCTGCCTGTCCCTCTGTTCCCTAGCTCTGCCCTGTCTACCAACCTTATGTCAATGATGACACCTCTCTTTTCAGTTGATGTTACGATGTAGGCCTACCTACCATACATTTATTTTTTATGAACTTTTCTGGAGTGTCAATATAGAAGTAAATACTCAGCTATTGTTTATGTGAATAGTCCTACACTTACTCTTCTATCTTCCATAAGGTTGTAGGTATCATGATCCTTTCCCATTAAGTATTTGAGGACATCATTATGGCCTTCTGCTGCAGCAAACCAGATGGGAGCACTGCCATAGTTGGTCTCTGATTTTGGGGAGGCTCCAGAATCCACTAATAACTTTACCACATCCAAATAACCTGCACGAGCTGCACAATGTAAAGGTGTCCAATTGTTCTGAAATATAAGATGTCAATGAAAATATGTAATTACAATGTTTTAACAACCTGCACTATATCTGTTTTTAAAACAAGGTCCATGTGGAGAGTATGTTTAGAAAGAATTTTAAATATACTTTGATACTGTAATATTGTTTTGAATTCATGAAGTGTTCTTAAGAACTCATTTGAAGGTTGTAAGATAATTCCAATTACCACAATCCACAAACAACTACATTACAAAGAATTACATCACTTCAATAGCATGCCATTTGAAGATTAAACATTTGTTTCCAAAATACACTTCACCCCATAGTTCATCACACAAAGTTTTTAACAGTTTTTGATGTTAAATAAATACATGTGAATATAAAAGGTATTTTGAATAGGTTATTGATAAATTAATTTAGAAACTACTACATCTGACTGTAGATAAATTTACACTTACAGATAATTAAAAATGCATATTCTAATTCAAAAGTAGCTAAGAGGTGAAATGAGGAATTCGATAGAAAAAAGTCTATATTTGATTCTCAATAACAAGAGAAACCTATAATTTTAACAAACTACACAGAGAAAATCATTATTGGTTCTTTCAATAAAATATTTCTACATAACAGATATTCCTACTCTAATTTCTTATAAGTATTACTCTCACAACTGATGAGAAACCATTTCCAGCTTTTGTGTATTCAATAACAAATACTACATAATCAATGGTATAAAACTACTGTTTGTAACTATAAATTATAAATATTAACTACTACATAATCAAAGTTAACAATAAAAATGAATCTAAGTTGTCTCAAGAGAAGCAGTGTAGATTCTGATAATAAAAAACAGATTCAGCAGAAAATGTCCCAATTTTGAAATCATGAGAATCAAGTTTTCATTGTAATGGAAGAGCACATTGATAAATACCATCTTTAAAATTATGAAAGTCATTACTGTGATCATGATCTACAAGATAGGGAGAAAGTCAGCATGATCTGTTTCTTTGAAATCTTGTATTCCCTTACTCATTAAGGTCATCCAGGTTTTGCCATCTTAGTTCCCGGTCTTACATTTTCTTTCCAATCTTTGAGTTTGTATGAGAGTATTTGTTCCACTTATCTAGTTGTCATTTTCTTGATGTGTTTCTATCATTTTCTTAGGTAATCTTCTTTCTTGACTATATTCTTTATAATCAATCTTTCTTATATCCTAGTTTCTAAATCTGTCTTTTCTATTGATATTTCAAACTGATCTCAAATATCTCATTCTAGCTTTGCTTAGCTTCTAGTCTTTGTCTCTCTTCTTCAACACCCAAGATTCACTGCTTTATTGTATGGTTGGGTTAGATTCTATATTGTATAGTCTAGTTTTTGTTTCAGAAGTCATGTTTTTGAAATGTCTTTTTATACTGGCGTACATTCGTTAATTTTGTAATAGTATCTCTCCACTTTCATTTCAAATTCTTCATTTTCTAATGCCAATCCATTTCCCAAATATGTGAAATTTGTCATCTGTCTATAATTTTGCCTTCTACTACTATTTTCAGTCTCTGGTGTTCTTTGCCCAGTATTCCTATACCTTTGGTCTTTGTCGATAAAATTCTCATTCATATTCTTCTGCAATCTTAAGTAATTAAAAAGCTATTCTTTGAAGTTTACCTTCAGTTGTTGCCAGAATCACCTTATTATCTGCTTTCAATATCATCATTATTGTTCTTTTATGTTTGAGAATTATTCCATCTCCAGTTTCACTTCTCCAACTCATCATGTCATTTAGATAAATATTAAATAGCAAGGGTGTGAATGTGAAGTTGTGATGGAGTCCACAGTTAGTTGGGATTGCTCATTTTATGTCTTTGTTCATGCTTGTATAAGCACTTTATTGCTTTTAACAGATGGTTATCTTCTTCTTTGCGAATTTGTCAGGTTTTTTCTGATCACTCTACCATTTGCATTTTCATAATGACGATAGTAAGCTTATTGGTAAATTTTCTTTACATCTTCTTTTGATAATGTGGTCTGTGGTAAAAACTTCATCAATTGTTTCCCTCTCTTTTCTAAAGACACATTGTTCTTCTTAACACAGTTTTTCACTATATTTCTCTCAATGTTTTTCCAAAATACTTGGAAATATTTTATATCCTGCTGCTTGCAATGTGAAGAGTATGAACATTTTCTAAAGTAACTAACATTTTACAAGAAAATAAATATATATTTTTAAATCTTTTTTTTTTTAAATTAAACTTTTTTTTGTTGAAATAATTTAAATTATTTGAGGTGCTATTCACAATTTTATGTTCTTTGGTTTGTGTTTGATTTATAATACAAAGAGTATAAACTGTTTTGACAAAAAAGTCACGCAGGTTCTAGAGATATTTGCAGATGTTTGGTGCAATTTGAATCGTCTTGAAAACTTTGATTTTTGAGAAAACCCAGATTGTTTTAATTTTGACATGTAAATGAAATATTACCAAAACTCTGCTGGAATACATGCTGCATACACAGACATATCTATCACGTAAAATAAGAGGATCAAGGAAATTTATTTGAATGCCAGAAATTCTCTGGAATTTTAGTTTGAGCCAAGGTTTCAGCCATTATTGTTTGTGTGTCCGTCGGTTTGTTGGTTGCTTGGTCATTCAGTCTGTCCGACTGTCTGTCCATCCGTCTGTTCATCCACCCATCGATCCATCTGTCTCTGTCTGTTTGTGTTAATGTTTGTTTCTTTGTTTAATTGATTGCTATTTTAAGTTACTAATATACACATAGTAGATTTATACAAATTAAATGAAAACTTTAAAAGTGACTTTGAAATATAAACTAGTGGTTCTATGGCAAACTTTCTTGTATTATTAATAATATACATATGTTAGTAATATTTAATATTATATTATAATACTGCATTGGGTATCATAATAACCTTCAGCCATCACTTGCAAAAAGCAAACAATATATCTCAAAATTACGCAAGAACTTCTAATATTTTGGGAGAAGTGTACATTAAATGATTTAAAGATCTTGAGGAATATTGAGCAATCTATTGAGGAATAGATTGCACTAAGTAAGAAATGTCTAGCTTCAATACTGAATATTCAGGAGAGAATTTACATAAATAATTTTATCGCCTTATTATGTGGAAACTACTGATATTCATAAAAAAAGTATAAATGAAATTATTTAAAGATCTAGTATTGAGGAATAAATTACATTATGAAATAAATATATAGCTTCAATATTAAAATTGTAGAGCTGGTCCAAAAAAATGAACTTTTCCCTTTTCAAAAATTCCAGCGATTTAATTAAAATCTTTTCTGTATTTCAGATAAAAATTAAAATACAAAGTGTGGAGCCCTTTTTGAGAAAATCTTGTTGACGTACTCTTTTAAAAAATATCATAAATTCACTAAAAATTATGCAAAAGCAACACATGTTCTTAAAAAAATTGTTTACAAAATCTTTTAATTTTGAAGAACAGATTTTATGTAGAAAAAATATCTCGATCTTCGATAATGTAATTGTAGCAGGATGTAAAAAAAAATGTGAAGATTTGCAATTTTCATATATTTTGAGGTTTCCTACATGCACTATTTTTATAGATGTATTTTGATGTATTGAAGTAAAAAATGTAAAGAAAAAATTGGAACTCATCTTTGAGAAAATTCCAAAAAATGTCCAAGACGGTTCATATAAAGTTCTCCAAAAATGAATGATCTGTTTCAAATTGCTCAGCCTAATGCAATGTACATAAGAAATTAAAAATTTGCCACTATCCAAACATTCGATTCAAGATTTATTTGAATATCCTATTATTTGCACTTTTGAGGCCTCATTATTCTTATGTCATGCTTATGATATGAACTAAACAAATTACTTCTGTAGGTAATAAAATAAATAAAGTAAACCAGTACTATACGTGCAAGTTTTCTTGATATTTCATAGCGGGGGACTCGGGGAGAGGAGGGTCCGGGCTTTGTCATGGCTTAAAAGGGCATACCAACTGTGGGCATGAACTTAAGCCAAAGCGTGCCTCGAGAAATGCTCGAATTGTTTTGAAAGTACGAGGTGGTTGTTGCCAGCATTGTTAATTGGTATGTGCTGTTCCAAGTTGAACCTAAGTATCTCAGCGTGCCATGCTATTCAGCACTGGGTGAGGACTAGGGAGCTTGTGTATCAAGAAAACTTGCGCGAGTAATACATATAAAAGGATTGTAATGTAAGAAATATTGTATAAATTATTCTTTTTAAGATTGTATTAATCAAATTTTTTTATAACTATAAGAGAATAAACAGAATATTACATTAGTTTTGTTCCTCTCATTAATTAGAAGATAAATATTCCGATTGTTTTCAGTATTTTAATTGTTTATGAATGTTTTTTGATAGTAAAATTTTGACACAGTTTCTTAGGAGTAACTTGTCCCATCTGTATACCCATCACTAAATATAGGAGACAAAAGATGAAATTCAAATTCACAATAAAGCTTAATTTTCCATTCAATATTCACTCTCTAAAAATATATATTTCAAACGTTATACACATACAAAACTTTTCTCTACTCTGTAATAAAAGAATATGAATTAAGTAGTCCTATTAGGAATGAATACTACTTCCATATATATATCATATATATATATATATATATATATATATATATATATATATATATATTATATATATATATATATAATATATATATATTATATATATATATATATATATATATATAAATATATATATACATCTTATAATGATATAATAATATAAATATATATAGATAGATAAGTTTTTACAAACCTTGTCTTGAGCATTATTTCTGCTTGCCTGGCCTAGCAAAAACCTCACACATTTGGTATCGGCCATGCATTGCAGCAATGTGCAATCCTGTTTTGCCATGCTTGTCTCCACTTTGGAGTAAGTCAGCTGCTCTGCTCACTAAAAGGCCGACTACAGTAATATGGCCTCCAAAACATGCCAAGTGAAGTGGGTTGTAACCCTGAAGAAAAGAGAAAGAAAATTAACTCAAACCAAAAATTATCAAATTGAATAATTATATGATTGCAAAATGAATAGATTGAAAATATTCTCAACACATTATTTAACTAAATATCTCCTCACATTTTCAGTGGTAGCAGCATCCACTTGAACTCCAGCAGAGTTAAGCAACAAGCGAACAACATTTTCGTTGCCTGAATATGCTGCTAGATGGAGGGGAGTCATGCCTGACTCACTGCCCAGTTCTCCTACAAGTCCCTCCCCAGTGGGAGGGTCAGACTTAACAGTTGCAGGAACATGGATGAGGAGTTCACGAACAGTTTCTGAAATGGGAAAAACAAACTATGGTTTCAATATTTACTTGAGATTTAAAAAGTAATCTTCCTATGTCCATTATAAAACAAAATGGGTTTCTAATGTCTCAAATTTACTAAAGAGATAAAAAAGGTTTGGAGTGTATTCTTGTGATGAAAATAATTTTTAAAATTGTAAGCTAGATGGTTGAAGAAGAAAATATGGAAATGGATTATGATGAAGAAATTTCATCAAACTGAATTCACATTGTCCTATCAATAGGTCTGTGAGAATTCAGAACCTTTCCAGTTTCTTTTGTTTATAAGAAATGTTTAATAGAAGCTTGGGAATAAAAAGTAACTCTAAAAAGCGAACAAATCAACACTGGTTTTACAGTGTTTCTTTGCACAGCTCACCTGCTTGTCCAAAATATGCAGCTACATGTAATGCTGTTACTCCAAGTTTTTTACTTGAGATGCGAAGGGATTGAGATGATCGCAGCACTTCTAAAACTGGCCCATGACCATTTTGGGCAGCCAAATGAACAGCTGTAAACCCTGCCTGAAAAAAAAAGTTTTTTAGAGTGAGGAGAACTAGAAAACTTTTCAGGTTCATTGAAAGTCCGAAGTCCAATCACTTAAATGGAAAAGGTAGTTAAGCAGGTCAGTTAGGGTTAAACAATGCTCACTACGTAAAAGAAACAGTGAGAGTAAAACTGTGGGGAAAAAGAAAAGTGAATGGATAGGTGGTACAAGGAAAATTTAAAAAGGAGACACTTTTCTTATAATTTTGTAATATTTAATGAAATATTGTTAGAATTATATTTTTTAACACAGAGTTTTGCAGTGTTCTGATTTAAAGAGAAGAACACTAGTGAAATAAACTTAATAGATGATGTTAATGCAGGATTTACGTTATATATCTAAAGCAGGGATGTCCAACATGCAAGGGCCACAACTAAAATCGTTAATATGGTTGTGGACCATTCATTCATAATCAGGTGATCCACCCCTGGCATCCCCGTATTGTTGATTTCGGCACTTTGCTCGGCTGCTCTGAAATGGAAGTGGGGGATGGAACCATGCGTGATATCAGGTCTACCATGCATAAAGCTGTTAAACATTAGAATGGTTTTGTATATCTGAATTTACTAGGAAAAAAAAAATGTAAACCAACATACTTGTATTTATACATTAAATGTGTGGCAACTAGCAACAATGGTTGCTAATTCGTATGCGATACACATTTTACAAATTAGTATTCTTGATACCACAAGGAAGAAACTGAAAATGGATAGAAAAATGTAATAACTAAAGATAGTATTCTTCATGTCTTCCGGGCTGATGGCCCATGAAAGCCTTCAATGCTGTATAAATATAGTTATATTTATCATTCATTCATTCAAATATAATGTTATATTCATCAAAACTACGCGGTTTTTACAGGCATTACTCGTCATTTCCACATCTTATTATGCAAAGCGAAATCATCTATTCATTTTGACTTTTAACTCAATTAAAGGACAAAATTTAAAATAGATTTAATGATTAAATAACATTATACGTAATCTTTCTTTTGATTCGAATGAACAGTGTCATAATTGTTCTAAGACAGTGTTCAAGAAAGAGAAGATTTTTCTTTTTATTATCTTGTTGCCATTGGGTTGAATTGAATTAATGCCTTATTTTACGTGGCGAGACTCGGGCCATCAGACCCGCTCTTCCGTCTGGCCATGCAAATTTTGCTACGCTCCTTTCACCAACTAGCGGCGAAAGGGGGTATTTATTGGGCGATGAAGCAGGCGATTTGAATTTAGCTCAGAGGCGTCATTTAGGCTTGAGGATATTTTACATGCAAGTAAATCTATTAACATGGGACAGCCGGCTTTACTCTCCCCCCCCCCGAAGGAAGGCGTACGAAGAATTTTTTCGCCCTAAAAAATCCAGGGCGTCGAACGGGTTTGAACCCGCCAGCTTAGGTATAACAGTCCGATACGCTACGATACGATCTTGTTGCCGTTCAACAATGAACTTTTCAAATTTACAACGTTGCATTGTTTCCCAAAGCAGAGGGTGGAAATATGAAATTAAAATTAAAGTGTTGTACAAATTTATAGTACGCAATTTTTTCAAGTTTTCTTTCATGTAAAGAATTAGATATAATGCTAATATAATCCAAACCCAACCAATTCAAACGAAACACTTGCGTTTATATTATTAGCCAGGTACAGAATTAATTTCTAAATGAAACATGCCACAATCAGCAATCAAATTTTTTAAGTAAAGAAGTAATTTGTTAGTTTTAAGCTAAATTTATTACCTTCCTGCAATCTAATTTCTTTTATAGAAATAACAATAGCTTCAAAACCTCTCAAATGATGTTCACGAAGTGCAGGAAATTTGAAGCGGGCGCCGATGTTTGAAGCCAAATTACAAACAATACTCATATTTTCGAAGTATTCAACTTGATGTTATTTGAATATAAGTTTCTGATGAACACATTTTATAAAGAAAACATTTTTATCTTCACAATTGTAGTTGTTGGAACATGCCGATTTTTTTTTAATTTTCGAAGAATCAGACATTTTAACGAACCTGTCTAATTTTCTTAAGCGTTGTTTACGCGATCTAAGGACCAAATTTAATTAAAAAAAATAGTGTAGTTTTTAAGAAAAAATGGTTTAAGAAAATAAAAATTGTCGATGTTTGACACAAAATATCACACAAAATACTTACATTTTCGAAAAATTGAACATGAACTTATTTGAAGATCTGATTTTGACAGATTTCATTAAGATACAAATGTTTACCTTCATAATTTTAGTTGTACAAAGTCGCCAAAATTGTTTTTGAATTTTTTCGAAAAATTATACTTCACCTTATTTAAGCACGTGTCTTTAAAGAACAGATTTCATTTCGGGAAAATCTCTATCTTCATAATTGTAGTTGTAGGAAGACGTCAAAAAAGTTTTGCGCTTTTGTAATTTTCGAAAAATCTGAGTTTTCATCGAAAATAAGACCTGAGCCATTTACTTAAACGTCCTTTACACTATCCAACAAAATTTAATCAATGGAGACTTTTTTTGAAAATGTTGAAAATGTCCCAGGGGCTTCACGTAAAGTACCCTCCAAAATTAAAATATCGGTTTCAGATTCAAGGGACCATGATATCAGTCTTATCGATTGAGAATATCAATTTTGGAGAAATTCAGCTGAACCGGCTAGCCGCTAGTATTGTTCACAGACGGAGACTCGTTTTGCCGTCATTTGATTTTTCGACCACAACATTTATTTTTGTGTCGGTAGAGCCAGTATATATACTTCGATTTTTCCAAGAGCATGGTGCAATACCTGACATGGCACCAGGCATTGGAGAGAGCGGCAGTTGGTCGCTCTTTCATTTTGATCCTAAGCCGGGACAAAGGAGGAAGGTTTGTGGGCCACACTAGCAATCTACCCACCGTAAAATCACACTGTTGCTCATAGAACCACACGTAGCCTCGGATTTGGACCAAAGAAGTTGAACACGAAACGAAAAAGGACTAATCGATGGAAGAAAAATAAGATATTACGAGTTTGAACGTGAAACGTTAAATCGTGGCAGAATAAGGAACGAGATATAATAATAGAATTGGAAGAAAAAAAAGATCGACATCTGTTGTATCTCTGAAACTGAAAAAAAGGTAAAGGTACAAATAGACAAAATAATCATGTACTACTATACAGTAGCATCTCAAAAGACCAATGAAAAGAGCCAGAATATCAGGGTATTTGAAAGATGTGACATGGAGAAACAAATATCTTAATGTAGAAAGCAAAGTAAAAATTTACAAAACTATGGTAAGACTAGTAATAACATATAGAGCAGAAACAAGGGCCGATAATGGAACTAAAACTCTACTTAAAACATGAGAGATGAGAACATTAATATCAATTTTGGGTGTAACAAGATGAGATAAATTGAAAAACCAAGATATAAGAAATGAATGTGACATTACAGACATAGTAACATTTACAAGAACCAGAAGAAGATAATGGAATGAGCAAGTTACCAGGCCGGACAGCAAAAGTCTAATCAAGGTTGCGAGAGATTCAGAACCTGTAGGAAAACGCTACCCAGGCAGACCGAAGAAGAGATGGATCGAGAGTTGGATTTCCACATCTCCTGAATCATCCTGATGGTGAAATGTGAAGAAAAACAGGCGTTAACGTTAATAAAAGAAGAAGACGTACAAGAGGGTTTGATTTCTAGGTTTTATTTAAAAACAGGATTTCCTGAATTAACCATTTTTGTGCAGATGCAAATTTGTTATATATTTGTAATTGTATATTTGTTCAAATAAGGCTTATATATAACTCCAGAGAAAGTGAACAGATAGTGAAGATATATTTATGACCAGAACAAAACAAGGAGCCATCTCACCTTTCGTTCAAAGAATCAAGGAAACTGGACGAAAAATATGATCGAGATACGGATCATGGATTCAGAAGCTGAGGTACAATACTTGTCTTAGGCATATTTAGTCTTTTAGAATTATACGGTCCATATGGTCCGCACTGGCAGTTGCTTGCACGTTTTCGTTGTTTGACGTTGTTTCGTTGTTCTACACCGACTGAGTGTAACACTGTCCTGATCTGTCACACAAAGGGCGGCGCAGCTAGATCAACGAGCTCGTCATCTCTACGCAAAGGATACCCCAAAATAGTGTTAACTTGTCGAAAAAAGTTAACATTAAAACACGATTTTGTCTGTAGATACGGGTGAGTGGTGGGACGGGGGCTAAGAAACCTCCCAAAAATATTATTTTTATGTTAGAGTTATAGTTTAACTACTCATAAGTAATTTGGCTTAGGGAAACTCTTTACCATCTTATCCGGGGAACCCTTTAATAATTTCTTATGGACACACTGTTCTACACATCTGCCAATTTTTAAGCGATTCCGCCCATTCCTTCTGGGTGTTGCAATTTTCACAAACAGCAATGTACAATTTCACGGAGGTTTTTCTCGATAAAAAAACAACAAAAAAACTAGAGGGTGGTGGCGCAATTCTGGCTTCAGATCGGATTTAGCTTGTCGACAGACACAGAAAAACATGTGTCTTTGGAGTTGACAACAACACTCAAAAACAAAAACAGCACAATTCCACAGTTTTTTTTGTTTTTGCGAATTCAAAAAATAAATTAAAAAAATAGATGGCGGTGGCGTAATTATAGCTTGAGATTCGGATGCAGAGCGTCGAAATACATAGAGACACATGTGCCAAGTCTTCGGGTCTGACTTGTTTTGTGCCTGTTTAATCGTTCGCGTTGCTATAAGTCGATTACTTCACTTAAACACACTGTAGAACACTAGGAACAATAGTGAAAATCAGTAGCTGATTTGTCTACGCAAATAATTTTTATTGCACAAGAGCGAATAAATTAACACCAATTCTTAAATAAAATTCTAGTAGTGATGTAATATCACATACTTTCTCGCATTATTTATAACTCCTCCACTATATTATCCTTCTGCATAAACTTTTGCATAAACCTGCAAAAGTGTTTTCAACCAGCAAACGCTTTTCCGCTCCGAGACCCGAACGCAGATGTTCAGAATTAACTCGCCGTGACCCCTACCACTACGCCACCGTATGGGCACAACACGAACCGACGCTTAAACACGTAATTAGTCGCTACATGTACCCTCAAAAATCAAAATATACGTTTAAAACTCCCAAACCCTCGAGTTCGTTCAGATCGATCGGGAAATATCAATTTTAGAGAAAATCGGTTGAACGGTTTTGGCGCCAGCATTGACCAAAGACGGACAGGCCGACTGGCAGGCAAACAGACAGATGTTTTGTCGTCAATCGATTTTTCGGGATCAAGGATCCACAAAACATGGACTGTGGCTATACCACGTGTTAGAGGCATCTTTTTTTCTATATTTAACAATTGATTTATCTACTTTTTCGTAACCAGGGCCCGGCAATGAGAGGGTGCCGAATATTCGCCGTTTTCCAGCGCGCGAATACAGAACTTTCTCTTCTTAAGAAGTAGCATCGTAAGGGCGAGAAAATATAAAACTATCGTTGCTATCTGTATTCATGTTTCATTTTAATATGAATAAATTAGAACAGGGAGCCAGGAGCTCAATAAACCGTGAACAAATTGCACTTCTCCCCATAATACGTCACACAGTTTTAACTGCCTTTTGATGTTAAATAAATAAATCTGTTTTTACATTCTTAGTAGACAATGTTATGGAAAATTGTATGAACATAATTAATAAATTAAAGTTTTCTAATTCAGTCATAAGTCCACAGAAACCCGAGAAAAATTGAATATAAATCGTGACATAATTATGATTTTGCGTCAAATATCTTTGACCACTTACCTTGTTCTCATCGGTACAAGAGGCTCCTGCACGCACCAAGGCCTTCACAACCTCTGCGTGGCCTCCCTCTGCCGCCAGTTGCAGGGGTGTTGCTTCGGTGATGCGATTGCGAGCTGATATCACACCTGAGCGGTCAAACTTCATGAGCTCTTCAATTACCCGAATGGAGCCTTGCATGGCAGCTATATGTGCGCATGTGTTGCCATCCTGCAATTAAACAAACGCATTTCAAACATTTTGTAATGACACAAATACCCAATGATAATTTGGGAGTAGATAAATTCCAGCAATCTTCAAAGAATGTTATTAATTACGAAGAAATAGTTTTAGACAATATTCAAATTCTCTTTATATATTTTGTATAAAAAAACGGCGTAAGGTATTTCTGCTGGATGGAGATATGAAAAATGTTTATGAAATGGGGGAGAAGGGTATGTCGTATTGGAATGAGAGGCACCCGTGGATTAACTGCCTCAGTGGTTTCCTTTGCGCACCCCTGGAAGAAGTTATCATAATTACGATCACCATCAGCAGCAAAAGCGGGACATATATGAAGTTATTATGAATGTCGCTGATCACAAGAAATCTCCTGTATTCCATAAAAATAAAAAGTCTAAAAATTTGGAAATTGTAAGCAATTAAAATGCTTTGGAAGTCTTCTAAAACTTATTTCATGGAAAAAATACATTTGAAATAAATAAGGCACTTTCTGAACATTTTGATTTTCGAAACTGTTCACTGCGAAAATTTGTAAATTATAAGTAAGCGCATGTAATAAATGAAATATAATTTCGAATATTTTGGTTGCGTACCTTGGTGACGTTCATTACGAGCGACGGGTGCTGTTGCAGGAAGAGGTGCGCCACCTCGGAGAAGTTGTTCATGGCGGCGGCGTGGATGGGCTTCTGGCCGTTGTCGTCGGTGGCGTCGATGTCGGCGCCCAGCTCCAACAGCAGCCGGCACACCTCGAGCTGGCCCGCGCCGGCCGCCAGATGCAGCGGCGTCTGCTTGCGCAGGGTCAGCACGTCGATGGCCGCGTTGTGGTCCTGGATGAGGAACCTGCGCACGCCCACCCAGCCACGCTCCACACTCCGCATGCCGCACTCCGCTCTCCGCTCTCCGCTCTCCGCTCCCCCTCGCCGCTCTCCGCTCCCCCTCGCCGCTCTCCGCTCCCCCTCTCCGCTCTCCGCTCCCCCTCTCCGCTCTCCACTCTCCGCTCTCCGCTCCCACTCTTCGCTCTCCGCTCTCCGCTCCCACTCTCCGCTCTCCGCTCTCCGCTGTCGCCCGCCCTAGCCCTTTCACAACGCCACTTCTCCACAGCCCTCCTCAGCCACTGCCGAACTTTGCACAACGCCACTCCCTTCTTCACACACACGCCGGGTTTTACCAGTGCCGCCCGCCCAATTCCACTTACTACCTCACTTCTCCCGTCCTTCTCAGTCCTTCCCTGCACTTCTCCAAAGACCTCTCCCCGCCTGCCTAGACCGACTTAGGTTGCTCAGGGCATCTACCTAAGTCACTGCAATGCTTCTGATCGGGAGGTTTTAGGGTTCGAGTGCCAACGGTGGCAGGATTTGCGACACTACCTAGGTCGAATTCTGCCGCTGTCTGCAGAATTCTAGCGGCTCTGATCGATAGTTTTCGGTGGTTTTTCCGATCAACACCCGGCAAATGCCGGGAAAGCACCTCAACAAACGAGCCACGGACCACGCGCGATCTTTCCTTCCTCTTCCTTGTTCTATCTTCACCCCTTAGGTACACCCACACACACACGCACTACACTACCACACATGTCGGAAGACCAGTTGTAGGCTAAGTACTTGTCCTGGCAAGGTGCCCCCCTGGTGGAAAATACCTTGTTGGGGGAAAACCCCACAAGCCGACATATAGGTTGGCGTCGGATCTCGCATCTAGCAAACGGAAATCGCCGGTACCTCCCGCACTAAAAATACGCATTTCATTTATGTGACTAATGACTTTAGCAGTTGAAACGGAAACATCCATCAAACGATCAGCCGAACCGCCTGCCTAGCTCTGCAAAGTCTTTCCCTTGTGCCCTTCCTCTCCCGCCCCAAAAATACCCCGTTCTACTCTGAACTGCCTCGCCTACTTGTTTCGCCCAGTCCTGCCCTGCGCCGAGGCAGGCATCACGTGGCGAACAGAGTGGGGGGAGAACTTGACAGTGGGAAACTACTGAGGGGTGGGTGGAAGTGGAATTGGCTGCCTCAACCTGTGTGCTGCTCCTGAGTAATCATGATTTCTACTTCTCACAACTTCCTGGACCGATACGTAATATCCTCCACGATCGTGAATATACGACAATATTTCACGTTAAAGGATACGTGTACCGTGGGTATGTAACGCGGGTACAGTGACTACACGATACATCAAACCTATCCAATTAACGGATGATTCGTTTCTGGATGTTAATGTGCCTACACGAGAAGCGAGTGATGAACTTGAAGCTTGAACATAATTTTACAAACTGGCAGCAGCGCATTGCACATACTAATCGCGCCCCCTCTTCTTCTGACCTCATTTACTCTTGCGTTACCATCCTCGATTCCACGCCTCTTTTTGCGGTGCTTCTGCCCTTCTCCCTTCCTCATCTTGCCCCTCCCTTCCTCACCTTGCTCTCTCCTTCTACCCATTCCCTTCGTTTTTGCCTCCCTTTCTATCATTGTCGGTCCCATTCCATCTGTATGACTTTAGTCATATTTTCTTCTCGTCTCAATTTTCTTTTAGTTTTCTTCAAGCCTCTTCTCGCCGTCTCGTTCGTCCTCCCTTCACCTTCGTCTTCGACTCTCAATGTTCCGTCATCTTCAACACGTTCCTCACCCTTGTCAACACATGCTGCTCCTGAGTAATCACGATTTCGACTTCTCACAACTCCCTGGACCGATACGTTCCATCCTCCACGATCGCGATTATACGACAATATTTCATGTTTAAAGGAACCGTGCCCGCCGTCTCCCTCGTCTGGAACCGCGCCCGCACCATCTCCCGTCTCCCTGCCCGGGGGAGAGGGGGGCGTGGCGCGGGTCGAGGACCTACCTGCAGAGGTGTGCGTAGCCGTTCATGGCGGCCAGGTGCAGCGCCGTGCGCCCCACGCGCGACTTGCTGTTGATGAAGGCCTTGTGCGTGAGCAGCGCGTCGCACACTTGCAGGAAGCCCCTGTCGGCCGCGAGATGCAGCGCGGATCGCCCCTCGTTGTCGAAGACGTCGACTCGCGCGTGGTTGGCCAGCAGCGTCGTCACCAGCTCCATGTGGCCGTGGTGGCACGCGATGAGCAGCGGCGTCCAGCCCACGGCGTTCTGCCGGTTCAGCGCCTTCTGCTGCTCGGTGGAGTTCATGTGCGCCAGCATCTCCGCCAGGATGTCGTTGTTGCCGGCTAGCGCGCAGTAGTGGAACGCCGTCTCTTGCGTCTGCCCAACACGCAAGGCCAACACGCGGTTCAGGGTCTGCCTGGCAGCGACCTCTCGTTTTCAGAATACCCGTACATAAACCTTCGAGTCTATTTTACAGCAACATGTAATAAACAACTTCAAAAGGTGTCTCAGAACAAAAAATCACTTTTGGCCAAAACGAAAATACACTTTTTACCAATGAACGTATAGCGGGAAATTTCATGTAAGGAAGTTATGTGACATTTGATTGGTAGGCAACTCATGTGAAGGTATTCATTGATGTTGGAAGGGTATATAAAATATCTTTGACTGCGTCATAACGTGATCTGCGGTTACGTGACGTCAGAACGTCATAACATGATCTGCGAAACTCCAGTGAACGAAGAGTTGCCAACAAGGCAGAGGCAAATGCCACATTCGTTATATGAAATTTTGAGTTCATATATTCATTGGTAAGAAACTGATCATCTTTAACCTTACATGACCGGAATTTTGTAACATTTATTCTGAGATACACTGTAATACAATGCAGACAAACATAATTAATATAATATAGATCTCAGTGTGTGACAGATTTCTTTTGTGGTGAAAATCTGTGTCGTTCAGGGAACACCCAACATATATGAAAACCGATGAAATTAAGAAATAATGAATGTTATGGGAACAGAATAAATTGGTCATATTACTAAAAAACGAAGTTCCTCGGCGTTGTGCAATATATTGAATTGAATTTGCTATATCAACTTTCATACAATGAATTCAGAAATAAATTCGAAACAATTTAATGCATTTTAAAATTAGTGGTCTTGCTTCGAATTCCAGTCCTCGCCAATTGTATGATTTTGCGACGTTTGAGGAACCCTACAAGGCTACCTTTTGTTTCCACGTCATTTTAAAAAACACGCCTGTTTATACATGCTCATACATGCGCGCACAAACATGCGTGCGTACACACACATACACACAAGAACGCACATGTTTAATCTATTAAAACTACGTTACAACTCGCCGAGACACAGCTCGTTTGCTTTCGAAGCTAAATTAACACGTATGGGTACAACGGAAACACAAATCACATATTGTGGAATTCGATTACTGAAGGTAGGAGTTAATAGGTTTCCACTGGAGCTTTTCTATGCAGCTCATTTCTTGTGTAAAATGAACGTGTTGGCGACTAAAAGTATCTTTTCTCGTTTTGCTATTTTTGAGCACGCCAGTCTGGAACTCCAGCTCCGCACCTGGCTCACCACTCACCTGGCGCGTGTTCTGATTGAAGTCGACGCCCGCCTCCAGCAGCAGCCGGATCACCTCCTTGTCGGACATGGGGTGCTCCACCTCCATCTTGGTGACCTGCGCGGCGTAGTGCAGCGCGTTCGCGCCGTCTTCGTTGACGGTGTTCACGTAGGACGTCGCCACCTCCTGGCCCTGCTTCTCGCGCACGAACGTGATGAGGTGGCGCACCACGTCCGCCTTGCAGCCCCGGCACGCCAGGTGCAGCGGCGTCTCGCCCGTCTGCGCACACGGCGAGCGCTGTAGGCCCGGACTTGCCGGCGTTAGACACGTAAACGCAGGAAGGAGAGGAATGGGGCGGAGAAAAGCCGTTAGAAATGCTCAAAGAACGATAAAAAAGATTGGCTAATCTCGGCAGAATGGCTGAAGAACAAGTGAAGCATTGTAGTCCGACTTGGAGGCTTGTGAAAGATAGAAAGAGAGAATTGCCAAAGTGCAGAAGCAAGGGCTTAGAAAGAGCACGAAGACCACTCGAGGAGTGGTAGAGGAGGGCTGAAGGATAGTTGGAAGAGAGGAGGACAACCCGACGGCTGGAGGAGGGGTAACCAGATGTTGAAGAAAGCTGAAAAAATACCAAATTGAAAGCAGAAGAACTAGAAAAATGCTGAATTAGAGCGGAAAGCCATCAGGTGAAGAAAAGAACCAAGACAGGGAGAGGAGTGTATGAGTTAGGATGGAAGAGATCTGGGGGTGCTCAGAAGTACTGAAAAGGGCTACAGTGCTGGAAGAGTTGAAAGAGGATTTGAGAGCAAGAAATGATTTGGAAGAGGACGGGAAGAAAGCAGGAGGCGAGCAAGAAAAAGGATAGAGGAGGGCCGGAGGAGAGGGCGCACCTTGGACTTGAAGAGCGGGTCGCCGCCGTCCTCGAGCAGCAGCAGCAGCGTGTTGACGTTGCCGTGCTTGGCCGCCATGTGCACGGGCGTCTGGCCGTCGTCCATGGTGAGGTTGGTGGACGCCCCCGACTTGAGCAGCATCAGCGCGCACTTCTCGCCGTCCTTGACGCGCGACGCGATGTGGAGGGGCGTCTCGCGCAGGCGCCCGCCTGCAACCGGTACGGGGCCCCGCCCACCGCCAGTCACACACTGCCCACCCTCACTGCCCGACGCCCTCCAGCCTCCACCCTCCGACCACCGCCCAACGCCCATTGCCAATTGTCCACCCTCCACCCCACCGCCCACTGCTTTCTGTCGCCTTTCCCTCGCGTCCGCCTCTGGGGAGCCTGGTGAGTCTGATCGTAAGCGAGAACTTCTGCCGGAATAACTTTTATCTTTTAAAAAATATATTATATGCTATTAAAGCATGAGATTTGCATGTTCAGAGCGCTGCAAATTTAGCAATATTCTTATTTAATGGCAAGTTTTACGAGGCAGCGATCATTCAGCAGCCCTCCGACCCTCATGAGCTGCGCACCCTCCCGTATGCTGTCAGACGTTTCTTATAGAACTTTGAGACTACAGAGTATATTTAACGTTCATTAAATGTTCATTAGGAAAGAGAATCTTCGTATATTTGAGAACACTGGATAGTTTATTTATAGTACAAAGAGTTTAATTTAATTTAATTTTCTGTCAAAATCTGATCGCAACTCAGTTTGTCGGCAGAATAAACTTCACTAGCAGGAACAAACGAGCGGGAAGCTTTAAACCTATCAAGTAGAACCTATCAAGTAAACACCTATCAAGCGAGTCAAAAAATAAAAATGGTAGTGAAATTAAATGTTAGTCATTTAAAATAAATCGTGAATTTGATTTATTTTGTCCATGAACAGTAAAAACTACATGATGTTTGCGGGAGAAGTACAAGCTGCGCGCGTTTTCTTAACCTCTGCAATCTCTTCTCCCATCTTTTAACCACAGAAAACCTTTTAACCACCAATTTGAAAACTAATAAAGGGAATAAAAAGTAGTGATTACAAAAAACCGCAACCGAACCTCAAATCGTCAGTGCTACCAACCCTTGGAGCCCGCGCTCTGCGCATTCCGCTGGCCGCTGCCGGGCACCCACCTCGCACGTGGACGTCGGCGCCATAGCCCAGCAGCGTCTCCACCACGGCCGGTTTGGCTGACTCCACGGCGATGTGCAGCGCGGTGTAATTGTCCTGCGCACGGCCAATCACCTCTTTGGCAGCCTCGCCTTCCAGCTCGTTGGCCAGCACTCACGCACATACCACGCGCGTGCACACACACACGCACACACTCACAGACGGACACAGAAACAGTCGTGCGCGCACGGACGGACACAAATAGGACTTCAGACACACGTATACAATACACTTGCAGTTTTCACGACATCCAATCAGGACAAGGAGCAAGGGGGTCAAAAATGTCACGACAAACATATTTCTCCCTGTATCCGCAAATATTATGCTTAAGAATTATGGTTTCGATGTTACAATACAGTTAGAATAATATCGTAGGGTGCTATGTGAATGAGTACAAGTGTGCATTTGTTATGAATATTGTAATATTATGTTGACTGACAAGAACACTTTGGAATTTGCTGCCGGAAATAATAACGTTGTGATCGAAATATGATATTTTTTGTCGTATTTCGTATACTGCCGACGCCTTGGGGGAAAGGCACAGAAAATCAACATTTGGCAGAATATTCAAGGCCAAACTCACGGCGTTCTTGTCGCGTAACTTTATACTAATGAGGGAAAATGTAGGTTCATTCCAACCATACTTGACTTCCACCGAAAAAACTACGATATTTTGTGCGGTTTAAGTTAAAATTATCTCATGCAACTGTTCCAACTGACAAGTGTATTAACCAAAAGGGGTATGCTTACAAATAAATGTTTCAAACATCTGGGGCATATAGATAGCTCGAAAGTTATAACTTTTTTCCAATGGTCAGAGTAGAAAATGCATTTAACAACGTTATGTGCATTTGATATATAGGCTATCCCGCATGCACGATCCCTGACAGACTCATGAAATCTCCTTAACTACGTCAAAACGTGCTCTGACAAACATCTGTTCATAAAGAGATGCGAAAAACCAAGGGCAAATACTACATGTATATACCTCTGTTTTCTAAAATTTCTCACATATTTGAATAGGCAAAATGTTATCATATCGATTACATTTAATTTGAAGACAACGTTCTTCAAGGATCCATGTGCATTGTCATGGGTCTCACAAAGTCGGTACGTCAATAATTAAGTGTGTGTGTGTGTGTGTGTTCTGGTAAATTGCTAATGTCATCACTAGCCTTGCGGTTCAGTACCCTTTCAGGTATTTTCTCCGGCCAGTACAAGCTCAAAGCTCCCGTCTCGTATCCCGAAATCATCAAAATATCATGCAAAGATTTGTGAGAGAAAGGGGATAGTAAAAGAATAAGAAAATGAACGGAAAGACCGCGTGCGGTCCGTAGACCGTTTGTTAGGGTACTGCTCCGGCATTTGCGTGGTGTTGATCGGAAAAACCAGGGAAAACTACCGATCAGAGCAGCCGACCGCTAGAATTCTCCTCCAGAGAGCGTCTGAATTCGACCTCGCTAGTGCTAGCTGTAGCTAGTGTCGAAAATCCGGCCACTGTCTGGACTCGAACTCTAGCGCTCCCGGGCAGAGTCGCTTCAGAGATTGCGGTTATGCGAGCTCGGAGGTAACTCAGGTGTGGGCGCAGATGGGCGCTGGCTTACGTGCGTGGTGACGTCGACGCGCTCGCCCTTCTGCAGCAGCGTGCTGATGATTCCCACGTGACCGTAGCGCGCGGCCGTGTGGATACTGCGAGCTCCTCCCTGCAACAGAACACTCGCCGCTGCATTCTCATTCTCCCACGCCTCTCCTCCTTCCAGTAAAAGGGCGAGAAAAAGGGCCGAAATGTTGCCTAGCCTACACACAACGCAGCGTTAACCGGTCAGACCCAAGCCAATCCGTCTTACATCGCATAAGACTATATGTTCACTTAGTACAACAAATTAAGTGTAAAACGAAGTGTGTCGAGTTTCAGACATGGATAAAGTGATGAAAGATTGACCGAAACGTTGGCTCACAGTCCACGACGTGGCGTCGCTCGCCTACACAGGCGAAAGCCAGTACATCGCTCCGTGAAGGAAACCTCTGAAAAAAACAGTCAGTTTTCAAAATAATAAAATCTCGGTAAATAATAAGTGATCACTTACAGATGATAAAATTGTATAACTAATGTTGCTGCATTTTTCCCACATGAAAATATTGGCTTGGGTTGTGGTGGTGGTGGTGGAGGAGGGACATTTTCACTAATTATCTACAAAATTTTCATTTTTGACTTGTGACACTTTTCTATCAACGGCGCGACATGACTGCCTCGGACGCGTACACGTTTACGTAGAATAGCAGATTGACAGTAAAAGAAAAACAAAATTCATTCAAACATTTCAGCCCTGTAACCACCCCTTGACGGGGTTGCTTTGCCAGGTCAGCCGAGAGCCGACACGTTTCATTTTTCTATGCAATCATTACTCTTTTCTATGGAACGTGCAACGTCAGTTATCATTATTTGCACCCTCCTCAATTGTATTTATATAAATGTAAAAATACCGAAGTGGTTAGGCGGAAGAGTAAGCCTTATGGCCTGAGCCTTGCAAATAATAATAATAATAATAATGATAATAATAATAATAATAATAATAATAATAATAATAATAATAACATTTTCTTTTATTCGTGATGAGGGTGAGGCCAAAAGGCCTGCTCTTCATTTTGTTATTATTATAACGCGCGAATCGCTTGGATGTGGAGGCCTCACCTTGTTGGGCATGTGCAGGTAGACGCCCTTCTTGAAGAGCATCATGGCGCACTCGGCGTGGCCGTTGAGCGACGCGATGTGCATGAGCGTGCTGCCGTCCTTGGTGCGCTCGTAGATGGACGCCTTGAACTTGTCGGCGAGGATCTCGATGACCGTCGCGTGCCCGTTCTCCGCCGCCAGATGCATGGGCGTGCGGTCTGCAACCCACAAGACTCCGTTTGCAGGAGCGCTCCACTTCGTCAAGAAACACGCATTTAACCATGGGTTCAATAAATGAGGCCAATTGTCGCTCACTGGCCAGATAAACAAACTTCCCGGTTAAAATCGATATTACTTCTTTACTTCCTGGTTGCAACATCAGTTTCCAGTGTCGTTTGGGACTCTCCTCAGGCTGACAGAATTTACTGGTTACACAATGTTTTACAGACTATTATTGGTTGTTAGCAAAATGTATATTTAGCCCGTTAAAGACAATGAATTGTGAAAACACAACTTAATTCGACAGAACTAAAACTTTAAACAGGGTTAATAGTGGGAAAAAAATGTGTTTTTTACTTCTGGAAATCTGATTAATATTTATTCCTAAACAGTTATTTTATTATCGAAAATTTTATATAACACAATATAATTTATAGAAATAATACATTTTTTGTATTATTTCTTGAAGATTGGCTGCAAATTTTATAACACGTTTAAAAAAAATTAACTAATTTCAGAAAGAAATATATCTCGTGTTTCATTCACCCTAATGTGACGGGGTAAAGGTAATCAAGTAATATCTTCCTCATATTACAGCGACCTAAAGGGAAACGTAAACAAAATGCATATAATAAAAACAAGGTAAGCATTTGATGAGGTTGCAATGACGTCCCATATCGATTGCAGCCCAAACATTAATAAATACTTGACACGTGATTCACTGCAAAATTGTGGAAAACATCGAATGTGTTTTAGGTCTAGTTCTGTATCCTGGTCTGTCCGGCGGCGTCGAGGCTTGCGTGCGAGGCGGCAACACTTTACGCCTCGGCGTCGTCGTTCATTGATCACCCGAAGTATCTGTGGCGTGGGGGGTATTTTCACTACCTCATGTGACACCTATATACTTTAACCTTACTCTAATGCCCTGTACTGTCCGGTAACTGTGAGTGATCTTTGTGCTATTTTGCGTACGCGTGAGTAAGGGACTGAGTCTCTTCACCCGAAATAATGATACAAGCACCGAAACGGGCACAAGAACCCCTTCGAACATAATTGTCACTCACTGGTGTAAGAATGGCGAATGGGCTGGGTCGGGGTGATGTTAGGAAACAACGGGGAGGTTCTTCATTGGGATAGATTCCCACCGCGGGAGACCGCGGGAGACACTGGCAGGTCCTTCAGGCACCGAGAGATGGTAGCCGGGGAGGGAGACGAAAAAGCCTGACTTTAGACCTGACCGAAAAGAAAAGGGAACATCCAACTGTCACAACCCAAACTTCTTGACTTCTATTCGCATCCAAGAACTGACCCAACAAGGTGTCAATCATACTTATTCTATACTCGCCTACAGCTGTAATTGAAGCCGCGAATTTAGGTTTTTAAATTCATAATGCTAACAACCGTACTGCTGAAGCCATAGGTTGTAGATCTGACCACGGGAAGGGATCTTGAGATTCAGGTAACATCTGTAAAACGAATTTAAAACATCCGCTAGATTTCGAAGTGTCGTCCTTTGATGGAGTCTTCGCCAGGCCTTTTATTATTATATTTGTTTCGATTTGGGAATGACTTACGTGGGAAAAGTTAATAAAATTTCTCGCAAAAATATTTGCTCGGGCTGGGATTCTAAACTAGAAATATAGGGTCTGCGAGTAACCGAACAGACAATCCAGCTGCTTGCATCACCAACGCTGCCGACGCATCGAAAACAAAGTTGACTTTTTGAAATTATCGGAATTCCAAAAGTTTTGATGAAAATCGGTCTTATTCAATATTACTAAGAAAACTTCTTTATTCGAAAAAAAAAAATAATTTTGATCGTTTTTTTTAGAAAAACTCGTTTAGTTATGTATTTAAAATATATCACTTTTTCACTAAAAATACAGAAATACAACTCGTATTTTAAAAAGTTGTTTGTCATCATTTGAAGAGCTAATTTTGTAGAACACATTTATTTAAAAATCTAACTTCAATAATATAGTTATAGAAGAATATTCGGAAAGTCGGAATTCTGAAAGAGATTTTCCAGGTGATCGTATCTGAGTCTTTTTTATAACAGTACTTTTCTATATTGGAACATAAATATTGTTAGGGTTTTCTTAGAAAATTTTGAGAACGTCCTTTTGAAAACGCGTAAAGTACCTCCAAAAAAAGACCCTTTTGAAATTGGAAGAACCTGCAGTCAAATCGATCGGGTAATACCCTTTTGGGAGAAAATTTTGTGAACAGTATAGATGCTAGTGATTCTCACAGATAGACGAGGACAGACGTTTTGAGAAAAAAAACCGTTTTCGGTATCAGAGACCAAATATTTTTCTGCCAAAAAACGAACACTTTTACCTGAAGCATTACATAACAATCTCTACATTCCATACATACAAATAAAACATCAGTTCTCAATGAGGTATAAATTCATAAAATTAGAGCTTTAGGTGTATGTGGCATTACTCTCTGGCACAAATTTCATCAGAGAAAGAAAATTAGTCGCCATAAATTTCTTGATTTCTAATGTAGCTGCCGACCTGCGCGGATCGCTCCCATAGCTTATCGTTGATCAGTTAGATAAGACACTTGCGGGGCGAGGCAGACAGCTCAGTAAACTATTGTTGTGATTCACAATGTGTAGTGCTGTGAAAGTCTTGTTTATCAGTGCTGTTCACAAACAGTTCCACGGAGAATAGTCACCGGACCTCCGGGACATGCCCGCATAGGATTCAAACAGTGCAAAATAGATTCAGGAGAAGTGATTGAATGGTACAAGTAGGTACAACTCAACCGACCATGGAAACAGCAACAATCGCCGAGTACCTTTTGCCATCGGCTTTGGCGATGTCATCAGCCTTGGAGGTAATTAAAAAATATTACGCATATGCGCCATATCATCTATAATTCCCTGGGTCTCACCAACAAAAGCTATACATGACAAGTCAAACAGAATATGAAGATCTCGACCAGCGAAATTCAGCGAAAATGGAAAGTTCTCAGCCAATTATGCAGATAAGTAACATGCCTGAGCCTTCGCTAAAGATACCAAGAATGCATCTCCTAGATATGTTTCCTGTATGTAACCGATCTCAAAACAACCAGCTCTCTACTCCAGACAAATTGTCATTTTATAAGATTCTTAGAAACAACAGTTTTTACCCCGAAACATCCAATGAAAAATCCCACTCAGAACAATCAAAAATACTTCCAATCCTCAACCATGACCTTCCAATGCACACCAAAATACCATGAAAAATAAAATTCCTACTTAAACATACAAATATTACGACAGGAGTTAGATAATCATACGCAGATGTTAATGTCAACAATCGATTGTTGCGCCATACCACGAATCCCTATGAACAAAAAGACAATATTATCGATGATATCGAGATCCAACCAAATCAACAATTTCTGTAGTATTAAGAAATGTACCAGTCTCTTAGACAGAAAATGGGATCTTTCAAGAACACCTCACCAAAAGCTATCATGTAATAACAATCATAAGACTCACAGACGAACTAGAAATCATGGCCGTTGTGCGAGGTAACTCTTTCAAAAACGAATGCAAGAATGGAAATATACAACCTGAAAACCCTCGTTAATGCAATAATCTTCATAAAAGAACGACGTCATTGACCACGGCCAGTAAGCTGTCGTCAATGTCATACTTACGGACCCACTAAAAAGAACTGCGAATTTCCTCCACACTGCAGCAAGAGTTCAGGATTACATGCTAAATCTGACTGATCAAACGACGTGACAAAATATGCACATTGTGAAAAGGCACATCGTGTATCCGATTGCGAATGAGAATCATATCAAACAATGCTAACCAGAAAAGCACTTCCTACCAACATAAACCTCTACACGTCCAACAATTCGTTCCATGAAATCCAGCACTCCCACTGCAACAACCACCTTCACACACCCCTCTCCCCTTCCAAGCCACCTTCCCTATACCGAAACCTCACTAAGTGTACTCCAATCGAGAAAACCGTACTGACAAAATTCACGTCCTATTTAGAGTTTTAATTAAACTTACTTTTCGCCCAACGTATTCATATCCACACGAAACCACGCAACTGATGTCTCAACAAACAGAACATTTCTTTACCAATCTTATAAATAAAATTCTTCCTGCTCACACAAACTCAATTCTTCAATCAAAAAGTAATGAGCCTCTGATTCCCTTTCATACATTCCCTTGAATTATTGCACGAAAAATGCTGGTCTTCAATTCCACATCAGGTACTATCTAGTGTATTTAATGGCAGGTACCGAGTGCCGAGTTCTTACGTTGATATTTGAACTCTTTTTGCCGTCATTCTTTGAACAAATAACACCCGCTGTGACGATGAAGCGCGCCCAACTTTGGACACCCATCCACTGAGGCGAAACGAAACAGGACGTCTGAAATGCGTGCAAGAAGGTAGTGATGACATGATCTCTCAAAAGAAATACATTCTTAGATATGAACTTCACATTCGTGTATACAAGTTTAATGAAATAATATCCTACTGTGCGTAATCAAGGATTTGGAAATGCAGATTGTGAAATTTCGCCAACCGACTGGCGACTGGCTCCGAATCTGCGTTTCCAAAGGTGAGAGGTGGCAGGGGGGGGCACTCACCATGGTTGTCGATGATGGCGGCGGAGGCGCGGACGCTGTAGAAGTACTTGACGAGCGCCTCGTCGCCCTCGGCCGACGCGATGTGCAGCGCCGTCTGCCCATCGCCCTGCACACACACACACACACACATGAGTCGCCTGCGTCACGCGCTGCCTCACCCTGATGGCGGCTCCACACATTGGCCGAACAGCGAGCTAATCTCGAAAAGCTGATGTGTTGGGCGAATGATCGCTTCCTTTGACGGGTCGAAATGACCGACACGCGGAGGGTAGGGCGAGCATTGTATGTTCGTCACTTAGCAAATAGCAAGCAACTCATCCACACTACTTGGGATTCGGCGAGCGCTTGCTTGCTACTCGCCGAATAACGAATGTGTGGAACCGACACACCCCCATTCACCCCCGCTTTCCAGCCCCCGACCCTCGTCCTTTCCTGCCCCCTCACGCTCCACCCACACCGTTCCGTCCACCTCCGTCCACCACTCCGTCCACGTCCACCGCCCGTTACATTCATGGTCCTCCGTCCCTGCGCATCCATTTCTGCATCTTCCCTTCTCTGTGCCTCCCTGTTCCCTTCCTCACTCCCTGTCACTGTGTTCCCCGTCCCTGCGTGTTCCGTCTTTGTGTCCCCGGCCCCAGCACTCCAGCCCTCACGTCCCGAGTCGCCTACCCTTGCCCCGTAGCTCCCGTTACATTGGTGATCTCCCAGCACCGGTGTTCCTCGGTCCTCTGTTCCCCATCGGTCCATCGCTCCATCTCTCCATCCTTCGTCATGAATAATAATGTACTGTCAAATGTTGTTGGCCCGTTTGCCTGGTCCTTATGTTCCACCCCTCCCGGCTTGATATCTTTGAGATCTGGAATCTAGGACAAACCAGGAAGTCGATTCGAAGGCTGATTCAAACAAATCATGATCCATGAGGTCAAAAGCTTTCTGCAAATCTAAAAATATTGGTTGCTTAATGATGACATAACTATATAAAGGCAAGCTTTTATGCATAGTTATTTTTTAAATCAATGTTGATAGTTCGCAAAGTGCGTTATTTCTGGTAGATGTTTCCAATCGTGTTTTAAAAAATGTGTACTGTGTGGTGCAAAAACAATGAAAATATATAATAAACATACTTAGCACAGTTTTCTTGTTGTATATTTTTTGTTGTATTGTAGGGTCATCTCTCTATATTTTATAGCAATACTTTGAAAGCGGATAACAGAGGCCTCGACCCGTCCCCATTCGTCCTTCACTCCCCGTCCTCCCACCTGCGCCCCATGGCCTTCGTCCTCTGCCCCACTCCTTCCGCATTTTGTCCCCAACCCACTCTGCTCCTCCTGACATCGCTCTGCCTGCGGTTGGGAGCCAGTCAGAAAAGACTGGAAGATCCGAAACGAATCCAAGCGACATCGGATAAGATCTCGACCCGAGCTAATCTCGTGGTAGATCGATTCATTTGAGAGTATTTTCACACCTCATTTTAGATAAGGGTGCCAGATTGTGTTCGCTTGTCGGGGAGCTCTCTCGGGCAAGAGAATCCCTCAGGGGCTGTGGAAGGGCGAAAGGGCGGGAGGGTGCCACCATCCACGCGCCGCCCATTCGTCATTTGAGCCGCCCCACCGGGGCGCAGGCGGCGCGGGG